GCCAGGAGGGTTTAGGGTTGAGGGTTTAGGGTTTAGGGTTGAGGGTCAGAAGTTGATGACAGGGAGGGACGGATGTTTCAGGGTTGTAAGTTGTAAGCGTTTAAGGGTTCAAGGCTTTCGGGGTTTTGTGTTTAAAGTTTACGGGTTCGGGGTTTTGAGGCTTTAGAGGCTAAGGGTTTAAGGGCTAAGGGCTTTGTGCTTAAGGTTTAGGCCCTAAATCGACCCTAAATCCTAAACCCTAAACCCCAGACCCTAAACCCTGAACCCTAAGCCCTAAGCCCCAATCCTGAGCCCTGGCGCTTCGCGAGGAAAAGGCCAAGAAGGCTTCAAAGCTTGAAAAGAAGCGGGAGGTGCGCAATCGGGTTTAGGGTTTAGGGTTTCGGGTTTAGGGCTCAGGGTGTAGGTTCTTAAGGCTTAGTAGTTGACAGCGGGGGGGGGGGGGGGGTGTTACGTGTTAGGGTTTAGGATTGAGGTGGGGGAGGGGAGGTGTTCCAAAGCCTAACACGCTACAGCCCTGAACCCTAAACCGAAGCCTGCTTCATGAGGAGTCGACTAAGTCAAGGGTTCTTGAAGGAAGGTTTGGCAGATCAATGATGGATACGAGGGAGGGTGATCTACAAAGTTACAGACTAAAAGGGCCTCCAAACCTATTCTTGTAGGTTACCAGTACCTACGCATTTATCAAAAAAGGAACAGGCCAGAAGGGGGTGTTCTTAGACCGACCTGGCAAGAGTAAGTATTGGGGGTTCTGACGGTAGGAAAGGACGATGTCGGGTTTAGGGCTTAGGGCTTAAGGCTTAGGGTTTATAGGGCTATGCGGATTATTAGCCTTGAAGCCTGAACCTCTAGCCTCCGTCACACGTGGCTCGGCCGAGTGATTTTCCCTTGGCCTCTACTTACTGGCTCAAAGCCCAACTTTTCAACTTTTGGGCTTCTTATAAGGTAGTTTATTCTGAAAGTTTCAACTTTTATTTCCTTGGGTTTTGGGCCAGTCAGTCTACCACGAACGGTACCTTCGAAGGGCACCCTCATTGGGATCAACCTGGCTGAGGGGTGGAGGAGGAGTTGGTTTCCCCAGAGCCCCTAGCCCTAAACCCTAAACCCTAAATCCAAAGCCCTAAGCCCTAAACCCTAAATCCTAGGCCCTAAGCCCTAAGCCCTAAGCCCTAAACCCTAAACCCTAAACCCTAAACCCTAAACCCTAAACCCTAAACCCAACGCCAGGCAATCCAGATGCGGCTCATAAGTTGCATTGCGGGCAAGGAGAATGGACCTCCGAAGGCTGGGACCTTCTTCTAAACCTTACTGGGTTTAGGGTTTAGGGTTTAGGGTGTAGGGTTCAGGGTTTAGGGTTTAGGGTTTAGGGTTCAGGGTTTAGGGTTTAGGGTTCAGGGTTTAGGGTTTAGGGGTGCGGTTGGGCCAGGGGGGTTTTCGGGATTCGGGAAAGTCGGCTTTCAGGATCTGGGCCTTGAGCTTGAGGGTTCTGGGTTTCTAACAGTGGTACCCTTTGCCCTTTCTTTCGGTTATGGGGTTTAGGGTTTAGGGTTCAGTGTTTAGGGTTTAGGGTTTAGGGTTATGGGTTCCCTTATAAAATAACCAACCCCCAAAAAGGTGCCCTCATTATCACATGGTTCTGGGCTACCAAGGTTTAGGGTTTAGGGCTAGGGGCTTCAGGGCTTGGGGTTTAGGGCTTGGGGGGCTTAGGAACCCAGGGTGGGGTCCTAAATCCTAAACCCTAAGCCCTAAGCCCTAAACCCCAAACCCTAAACCCTAAACCCTAAATCCTAAACCCTAAGTATAGAGGGGGGGGAAACCCATGATATCAAGGCTTCTCCGACGGCCTTCACGATCTTCAGCAACGAGAACCGCGAGAAGGTGATCAACGCGCCTTGCCCGAAGATCAGGGTTTTAGGGTTTTAGGGAGTTTAGGGTTTAGGGTTTAGGGTTAGGGAGTTTAGGGTTTAGGGTTAAGGGTTTAGGGTCACCTTGTACTGGGTTGTGCTTTGGGATAGTTTTGAGGTTCCCTTCTTTTCCCGTTTAAGGGAACCTATTCGTAAATCATTATCAACGGGCGTAAAAGAACCACTCAGTGTAGTACTTTCGAGGAACTGGGGAAGGATTTTAGGATTCGTCTTCAGGGTTTAGGGTTTAGGGCTCTGAGCTCTCGAAGACTCCACCTTTAGCGTGGTTCTGGCCTCTTAACTTTCATGCGCGTGCGCGAAAGGGACACAAACCTCTTCCCAAGATTCCATGTACCTGTATAGAAAGTACTTGGGCCTTAGAGGGGTTCCCATTTCGTAGCTTTAGGGCCCTCCATACGATATAGGTACGTGGACCCTTAGGGCTATATGTTGCTGCTGGTTCGCAGTAGAACTGTCACTTGGGGGCTGTATAATCACAACCTAAACAAGGGGTCGGAGTATTTACTAGTAGTATTCCCTTATGGTCCCTGTATAAAGACCCCCCCCCCCCCCCCCCCCCCCCCCCCCCCCAAAAAAAAAAAACTATTCTAATTATCAAGGCCCCTATATTACGTAGCGAACCAGCCCGACACCCCTGGGGGTGGTTGCAAGATGCCGCCAGCCAAGCGTCCATCTCGCTGAGGCCATAGATGCTAAATCCGCCTTTTCGCCCAAAATGCCGTAAGCCACGAAAGTTCCAGATATCCCGCAACAAATGAAGGACAATCAGAGCAAATATTTAGGCAGCATTGGCAATCTCGAAATCCTGAAGCCTGAATCCTAAACCTTTCCCCTTAGACGTAAACCCTAAACTCTGAGCCTCAAAGCCTAAACCATCATCCAGCTCCTAGGCGTTTTATAAGCTGTAGAAAGGCTTCTTGAACCCTGAACCCTGAACTCTAAACCCTAACCCCTAACCCCTAACCCCTAACCCCTAAACCCTAAACCCTAAACCCTAAACCCTAAACCTCCCTAAACCCGAAACCCTAAATCTCGATCTTGGCGATCCTGGCAAGTTTTAAGGAGCTGAGTGGAGCTGGCAAGGAGGGCGAGGAGAAGGAGGATGACGGCGAGGCGGGCGGCACATTATGATATTGTATCATAGAACATGATGTCATATTTCAACGTGGTCTTACTTAAGTCATATCATGACAAACTACATTCGCCAAGCACCTACACCATAGCATAATATGCTATATTATTGTTCTTCAGATTGGAGAATATTATGATAAACCCTGTACCCTGCTTTGCGGCTTGATGTTTTTAGAGCTTTGGGGATGTCTGGAGGACTTCGGTGTCTAACAGAGTTTCGGGGTCAAGGGCATTACTCGCACGGCACATCCATGCGTAATAGCAGCCTAGTTTAAGTTCCGTGTGGCAGGGGGTTACCCCTACAGGTTTCCCTTAAGATACTCCGAATATGGCCCTTATTCTGCCTTAGAGGATCTTTAAAAAAAGGGTCCCCCCAAAACCCAAGGCTACAACCTTCGGGCTCCAAGGAAGAGGCCTATGAGGTTCCCTCGTGTGCTGCGGGCCTACATCCATTATAGGGATCTTAAGGGAGGGGGTTCAAGGGGAGTAGTATGTAACCCAAGGTGACCTAATACTCCCCACTACTCCCCCCCGGTGAAACCCCCTCCCTAAACCCTAAGCCTTAAACCCTAAACCCTAAACCCTAAACCCTAAACCCCGCAGGAGAAAGACGACGAGGCCGAGGAGGAGCCCGAAGATGACGAGGAGGACGAGGATGAGGAGGATGAGAAGCCCAAGAAGAAGCTCGGTGCTACTACTTGCTTCAGAACCCGCCATAAAAAAAGCAAAAGACAATGATCCCTATAGTACCCTTGTAAGGAAGAATATTTTTTGGGGAGGCGGTTCTTGAGCAATTTGGAGGATGTGGGGGGGGTGTCCGAAGATAGGGGTACGTCTATTTTTTTTTGGGGGGGGGGGGGGGGCGGGGGGGGTTTGGGGGGGGGCGGGCGGGGGGGGGGTGGGGGGGGGGGGGGGGGGGGGGGCGGGGGGGGGGGGGGGGGGGGGGGGGCGGGGGGGTGGGGGGGGGCGGGGGGGGGGGGGGCGGGGGGGGGGCGGGGGGGGGGGGGGGCGGGGGGGGGGGGGGACGGGGGGGGGGGGGGGGGGTGGACGGCTTCCTTTCAGAAGAGTTCGACTATATTGGGGTGTAATTGAGGAAATACCCATGTTGTGTTATGGTTTACATGCTGCAGTCCTAGGGCGAGGCGGGGTACTAGGATGCTTTGGAGAGCATTCTGAACCGTCGGCATCAGATAACAGTGCTTGATCTTGTCAAGCACCCTCCCACCCTGCAGCCCTAAACCCCTAAACCCCTAAACCCCTAAACCCCTAAACCCCTAAACCCCTAATCCCCTAAACTCCTAAACTCCTAAACCCCTAAACCCCTAAACCCCTAAACCCCTAAACCCCTAAACCCCTAAACTCCTAAACTCCTAAACCCTAAACCCCTAAACCCCTAAACCCTATACCTTGGGATGATCCCCCTTATACTAGCAGTCCTTAACAGGGATGATTATCGTACCTCCTATTCCCCCATTCTTATTGGCGGAACATCCCAACCATAACACATAAACCCCTAAACGGGAAGACTAAGGAAGAAGAGCAAGAAGGCGTCTTCTGGGAAAGGAGGCGCCCCACTTGCTTCCTAAACTTCTGCCCCCCCCCCCCCCCCCCCAGAGGCTCTTGCGCTGTCGTGCCCTAGGTATTTACAGTTTAGGGTTTTCGGGGTTTAGGGCGCACGTTTGGGACTCCCTACGCAGCAAGTCCACCCTCTACTTGGCACCGATAAACCCCTACCATCATAACTGCACTAAGTCCCCCTAGGTAGTTTATGAGTAGACCTACAATTGGGGTTGTAAGCACCCATGAGCGTCCTAAGCCCTAAACCCCAAACCCCAATTGGGGCTAGAAGTAGCCCTGAACCTCCCAGTACCCTAAACCCTAAACCCCTCCTAAACCCCTCCTAAACCCCTCCTAAACCCCAAACCCACCCTGAATCCAGGGAAAGCCATGATGGAGCTGCAAACGAAGGCCGGGCCCGGCTTCGTGGCTTGCCGAAGCTGTCGTGCCTGGAATGTTAGAGACTGGATCTCGGGGTTTAGGGATTTAGGGGAATGGTTAGGGGTTAGGGGTTAGGGGTTAGGGTTTAGGGTTTAGGGTTTGTGTAGGGCCAAGGGTTCGGGGTTTAGGGTTGAGGCCAACTATCCACTACCCCTAACTCCCCTGGTCAGGCGTTGAAGTACCTTGCCGCTGCATGGAATGCCCTGTCGGAGGAGGAGAAGGCCGCGACAATACAGGGGTTGGAATAGTTACTAGTTTGCAGAGTTCCCTTATGGTCCCTTTTTAAGTATACAATAAAATCCTCAAATTCCTACTTCAACTATGAAGGCCCCTAGAGTAGGGGCCAGGGTTTAGCGTTTGGATTCGTTCGTGACTCCACATGCCCTAAGCACCTCTACACCCCCTCAAAGGTTCTTTAGAACTATACATGCACTCTATCCCGTCCTGGGCACAATCCTGCACTTTTTTTTTTTTGCCAAGGCTCGACCCCAAAACCTAGCCCAAACCCCAAACCCCAAACCCTAAACCCTAAACCCCAAACCCTAAACCCTAACTGTTGAAGCCTACTCCTGTACATGTCATCCTGTAGCAGTTGCACCATGCAGTTTTCCGTTTGCTTTCTAGGCCCAAAGCCTTGAGCATGAAACATTCTAAATATGTACAGCATTTCACAGAGTAGGTGCCAAACCCTACAAAGTAGATATACCTTTGAGGACTTTCGTTTCCTTGTTGCTTGCGTGTAAAAAGCTCCGCGCTTAGTTTGAGTCCTTGCAATGGCTGATTTCAGAGGGGAAGTCATGAATCCACTTCTGTCTTCTATGCCTGCTGGGGCTCAACCTCAGCAGGTTATGAGCCCAACGCTTGGGCAGGGCTATGGCACAAATCCACCGCATCCATCTCCACCTCCCGGAGGGGATGGTTTGCAGCATCCAGGTTCAATGCCACCACGTGAATCAGGCCAGTCAGGTGCAGTGGGCCTTGAACCTAATACGGCTACGGGAGGGGCATTGGGAGGCATAGGCCAGCATGAATCATCGCGAGGTTCAGGGGAAATGCCACCAGTGTCGACCACCAGTGAGGGTGGTGAGAGCGCACGCCAAATTGTGCATGTGCCCGGCAACACACCGGGCGGGAGCCCAGGTCTGCAGGCCAGCGCTGGCATGCCAGGTACCGCGAGCGGTGAAGCAGCGCCAGGGGGAGCAGTCGCTGGGGACTCCCAGCAAGGACAGGGTTTGCCGACTATTGCAGAAATGGTTGAGGGCTTCCCTGGGGCTGGGCTCCAGCTCATGTCAAGGGTTGGGGATTTTTTTAGAGTAGCCCGCACTGAGGTCATGCAGGTCCCGGTGTGGCAGGACTCACACGCAACGCCACCACGAAGTGCTACCCGTTCCATGGGTAGTCCGGGGGGTGCACCAGGGCAGTTGGCTTTGGGAAATGGGAGTTTGGGTTCTGCTAGTGGGTCGCCCCCGCAAGTGGGGCCACTAGGAACGCCAACATCCTTTGCACCATCGCACCCCGGAAGGGAGGGCCCGTTACTGAACGCTGACATGCTGCAGCGCATGCAGGCTTTAGAACAAAGGGCCCCCCTATTGTACGGTAATGTACCCGAAAGGCCTCAATCCCGAACAGACACGTCATCTTTGCCTCAGGAAGCAATTCAGGCCGAGGTTGCTAGGCAGTTGGCGGGGTTTGATCAAAGGGCTCAGGCCCAGGACCTTGAGATCCAGCGTTTGAGGAGGCAACTTGAGGAGGGGAAGGTTATGAGGGAGCAGTTGGCTAGGGAGGCGGCAGCTTCAAGCAGTGCCCCGCAAGCCCCCGCGCCATCACAAATGCAGGTCCCCATTCCTCTCCAGGTGCCATCGTCGCAAGATGCTCAGGTCCGCACCTCTGCGCAGGTGCAGGATGTTGCAGCGCCCGCGGTTGGTGCTGTGAGAGCGCCCGCTCAAGCTGCAGCAGCAGCCGCGTCAGGGTTTTGGTCCAACTTCTGGTCAGGGTTGCAGGGTTCCCATAGGTTGCCCAGCAGTGCAACCCCGCCCGGACAGGTCGGGCAGTCCTACGACGCAGCACAGGTGAATTTGGCTTGTTCTGCTCCAAACCCCCCTTCTCAGGCTGAAAACCTGGGCTCAGGAATGCCACAGGTGCCACAGGTGCAAGGTACACAGGTGCCCGCATCTCCGCCCGGAGGGGTTGGACCCGCTGCCTATGCACAGGTGCCACAGGTGCAAGGTACACAGGTGCCCGCATCTCCACCCGGAGGGGTTGGACCCGCTGCATGTGCACAGGTGCCACAGGTTTCAGGCGCAGGTACACAGGTGCCGCATGCACAGGTATCAGGTGCCCAAGCCAGTGCAGCTCCAGGAGGAGCATCTGCAGCAAGTGCAGCGCCCTCCTCGGGCAATCCCATGATGGATGCCTTGTTTGCAGGAATGCAGCAGCTTCAAACCATGCAGGCGCAGGGCATGCGGGATAAGAGTGTTGTTAGCAATGCCCCTGAAGCCGTCAAGCCAGGCACTACTGCACTTCCCATGCTGAAAGCTCCTGATCCGATGAGTGGTTCGTTGGATTTTCAGGATTGGTTGGAGTTAGTTGCGGGGTTGATGGGTGATTTGTCCGATTCCTCGCATGATTGGTGGACCGCAGTGCTGCAGGTGAGCCGTGACGCATATGAAAGGTGGGTTAAGGCTACTCCGCTCGATCGCATCAGGGTAGAGGTTGACGAGCGCCCGGAGCTGGTTGAGGGAAAGTGGTCCAGGGTCAATGCGCGTGCGTGCACCATGATTTTAGCAGCCTTAGATCAAGGGGTAAAAGCGGAAATGGTAGCTCGCAGGACCACTCAAGTAGCCACTCAAATCATGTTTCGGCTTTACACGCTGTATCAGCCTGGAGGTTCCACGGAAAAGGCATTGGTGTTGAATCACCTGCAAAATCCCAATGTTGTTCAGGATGTGGTGTCAGCTGTGTCCGCGCTGAGGGCATGGGGTAGGTGGCACAAGCGCTGCATTGACTGCGGTATGGTAGCCCCAGATCCTACAGTTCTTGCCGGTGCCCTCACCGAAATGACCAACCATATCCTAAGCCAAAACCCGGACCCCATGTTCCGAACTCAGATGGTTCGCAGCATGCTGCACATCGAGACTCACCCTTCGGAAGATGCGGTTCAGGAGTATTACAAGCACTTGTTAGCCGAGTTTGAAACCATGGCTGGAGCACAGATTGCCACACAGGGTGGGTCAGGCAACAATGTCGCTTTGAAGGCCATGGACGCTACGGGGGGTAAGTCGGGGGGCAAGGGGGGTGAAACTAAGGGTGGGGGGAAGGGTAAGCCGTGCAAGTACTTTCTTACGCCTAAGGGGTGCAAGTTCGGTGCGAAATGCAAGGCTCCTCACTCCATGAGCGACCTGCCAGCGGCTGAAAGGTTTAAGAAGTGCCTAAATTGTGGCTCTGAGGACCATCGCGTCAAAGATTGCAAGGCTGGAAAGGCCGAGCCAACGGCACCGGAACAGAAGCCGTCAGTCCAGGCAGCCTCCACCTCCACGTCATCCTCCGCGCCACCCGTTGTCCAGGCCACGCCTGTTCTGTCCATGGATTCCTTCCTTCAGCACGCATCCCACGCCTTGAGGCAGCTTGAAGCTGCGCGTGCCACTCATGGGCAACAGCCGTCGCAGGGTCCAGTATCCACAGTGCCTGCCCCAGCGGCCCCCACTCCTGACGGAGATGGTGTGCAGCAGCCTTCAAATCCATCCCTCAAGAAGCTCACCATTTGCTCAAGCATGCCAGCTAGTTGCCTTCTAAATGACCCACAAGCAAACCCCCCTTCTCGAGCCGAGATCGAGGGGTTGCCCGGTGCCCAAGCCGTGGAGTCCGAGCCACCTTTCATTGGACATGCCCTTCTAGACTCAGGGGCCACGCACCCTTTACGGCCAGCATCGTCGCAGGAGGAGTGGGTCAAGACAACCAAGGTGCAGGTTGGTTTAGCGGGGGCCCACACATCACACATGCGCATCACCAAGCATGGGGTGATACTCACGCCTCCCGGGAGGGATGAGCTGCCGACTGCAATTGTGCCCCTAGGACAGCTTGTCGCGCGGCTGGGGTACATGTTGAGTTGGACAGCTGATGAGTGTTTCTTGCGTTCCCCTGAGGGTGAGCTCACCACGTTGATGGTTCAGAACGGTTGCCCTGTGATTGAGCATGATAGGGCGTTGACGCTAATCGCTGAGTTGGAGGCTCAGCGTGAAAACGCACGCAGCACGTTTGCAAACCGCGCTGCAAACGAGGTCTCTTCAACCCTCGTCATAGCCAAAGCACTTCAGGCCTTTGGCTTGCCCCTTGGAGGGCAGGATGAGCACGTAAGTCCAAGTCTGAAGCCAGGGTGGGGACATGGAATAAGTGCCCAAATGACCGCGCCCATTTGGCCAGGGCAAACCCCCTTTTGGAGCCAAAAAAGGGGGTTTGTGGGACCCAAGTTTTGGATCCCAAAGAGTGCCTGCAGCAGTCCTCAACCATTTGGTTCAGGTTGGACGCCGACGATGAGTGTGACGACAACCCCACACGATACCAGCTTGATGGTGATGGGGATTCAAGCGTTTCTGATTTGGACTGGGCTCGTCCGCCACTCTCGCCACTCGGAAGAGGTAGGCCTGCACAGGTGCCAGGTCCACTGCCGTGTTGTCCGGGCAGGTTTAGTTTAGATGGTTTTGGCGGGTTGTGCGTGTTTGGGCCCGCGTGAGGTCCAGCCAACAAACCGCCAGGACCTAGCCACCAGGCCAGGAGGAGAGCGCGAAACCACAGTGCTCAGCAGTGTTGCAGTTCCAGCAACCTCCCCCCAGGAGGGCGGGGCCCGCAACGCACGCCAACGTCTGACGGCAAACCTCCTTTTTCAGCTGCTGTTATTGTGTCTGTTGTTGCTTGGCGTGCGTGGCGCAGTGTTTGCACCGTGCCCTGGTGTCCGGAACCTGCCCGCAGCAGCTTCAGGCACTCCAGTACCGTACTGGGTCGAGGAGGAGCCCTGCGTTAGGTTGTGGGGTTTGAGCGGTGTCGTGCCGGAGCCTCCTGTCCAGGAGGAGTCCCAACAACCCCTTGCAGAACGTGTGCTGCTCACGACTGTGCGTTTAGCTGCAGCAGCAGATGGCCTTGTGACAGCAGTTTGTTGGGGCATGCCAGGGTTTTACCTGTTTCACAAGCGTGATCATCCTGTTTGTGCGATATTCATGCTGCTTGTCTTTTTGCAAGTCATAGGCGCCGCTAGCCAGCAGGATGAAGAGCCGGAAGACCTGTCGCTCCCAGTTCCCTTGGACGCCGACCTGATGCTTGCAGTGTGCATTTTCGGTGTTGCGTTTTGTGCCATTGTTTTGTGGGAGTTTCTGAAGTGGAGTTTTGCCTTCTTGTCCCGCAGGACCTTCGGCATGAGCAGTGTGTCGCTAAGCCCGCGAAAGGCACGCAAGTTGCAGCGTCTCAGGGACCGCACGGAGCAAGCAATCCGGGCAGAAATCTCTGAGAGAGAGGCAGCGGCCAGTTCCTCACAGCATCTTGCGACCGCTTCCGGGAGGAACGCGCCAGCTTCCACTAGGCAGGCCGATGAAGCACCAACTCGTTTCTTTGCAACGCCAGAGGGCAACGCGCTTCATCGCACCAAGGCCTGTCCCACACTTGCCCGTTCACACAAGTTTGTTGTGTTTGAGGTCTGCCGGCAGTGCCACAGGAGCCAGGCAGACTGCACGCAGCATAGCACACGTTAGGGCATCCGCCGCCCTGACGGGTAGGTTGCGCGCCCCATTGCGCAGGCCTGCCAGCAGTGCTTTTCTTTTGCAAAGAGGTGCCGTGAGAGCCCTCGCACTCTGAGGCCAGCCGGCCAGCTACAGCCTTTCCTTCGGCAGGAGCTCGTACCTCCTCCCGGAAGGGATGGACATGTACAGGTTTTGTTTGTCGCAATACCCTAGCGGTGTTGCGAAGGAGGAGTGTTGAAGCCTACTCCTGTACATGTCATCCTGTAGCAGTTGCACCATGCAGTTTTCCGTTTGCTTTCTAGGCCCAAAGCCTTGAGCATGAAACATTCTAAATATGTACAGCATTTCACAGAGTAGGTGCCAAACCCTACAAAGTAGATATACCTTTGGGGACTTTTGTTTCCTTGTTGCTTGCGTGTAAAAAGCTCCGCGCTTAGTTTGAGTCCTTGCAATGGCTGATTTCAGAGGGGAAGTCATGAATCCACTTCTGTCTTCTATGCCTGCTGGGGCTCAACCTCAGCACTAACCCTAAACCCTAACCCCTAACCCCTAAACCCCTAAACCCTAAACCCACCTCCTAAACCCTACCTAGAGCCACCCACTCTAAGCCCAAAGCTCCCCAGGTCAAGTACCCAGATCCGAAGCCCCACACATGGGGAGCCACAATTCTAGATTTTAAAAAAATAACCCCTAAAGCCTAAACCCTAAACCCTTAACCTGAAGGGTGATCTGATGGCTGAGCTGGTTTGAGAGGCCACATACAAGGCAAAGGAGCTGGAGCTCAAGAAGAAGTACGCTGAGGACGCTGGCAGTGGGCTTCAGGGTTTAGGATTTGGGGTTTAGGGTTGAGGGTTTAGGGTTTAGGGTTTGGTCCAGTGTGGCAAGAACCCGAGGCCTAGTTCTTCGAAGGCCATAAAACATGTTTGGGATTTGGGGAATCGCAGCCCCCAGGGCACACGCAGAATGTTGTGTGTTCTTAAGGTGGAGTCGGCCTTATGAGTTCACTTGACTGGTTGACAGGGCTCGTAAAGGGTTAAAGGGCTTCATATTGGGATGCTCCCACTGATACTCACAGTCCTTTACAGGGATCATAATAGGGGATACTCAAATCCCTATTGAGGACTGTTATGAAGAGGGGGGACATGCCAAGGTTGATAGGGTTTAGGGTTTTGGGTTTCGGGTTTCGGGTTTCGGGTTTAGGGTTTAGGGTTTAGGGTTTAGGGTTTATCATAGCAGGCCCCACTGCGTGCTGCGCAGGACCTTGCGGCATGGAAGACAACGGAGGCACAGGATGCAACTACAGAGTTGAGGGCACGGGCTTACCATTAAAAGCCTGTTTAGGGTTTAGGGTTTAGGGTTTAGGGTTTAGGGTTAAGGGTTTGGGGCTTCGGGTTAGGGCTTCCCTTCTGGCACCCAGAGAGATGGAGTTCATTGTTTGATCAAAAGGAGGGCCCGATAGGGTTTAGGATTTAGGGCTTTGGGCTTGGGGTTTAGGGTTTCGGGTTTAGGGTTTCGGGTTTAGGGTTTAGGACGGTTTAGGGATTAAATCCTAGGCTCCGTCCGTGCAAAGCCCCTCGAGCACACAAAGGCGAGCCTCGAGACTGCCCCAAGACTCGCTTCAATAATTAAGTCATACAGGTCATGGGCACGATGCGAGAGGTGATCCTGCCCACTAACGGTCGTGCGGCCTCCATCAACGTGCAGTGGAGTGGATCGACGCCACCATCCGCTCTTCCGACCCGGATCGGTTGGCTGCCAAGGCCATGCAGGGCCTGCCGCCAAGTTGGCGCCGTGGCGGCCGGCATTGCCTCCACCAGGGATGGCACGCGGCCGAGGCAATGTGCCTGCTCCGCCGGTCCAAGCCTGCGACATACTGGTGGAATCCAACCTGGGGTGCTTGCACCTGGACAAAGTCTGGCGGAAAGCATGGATGGACTGCCCGCGGAGGCATCGCCACCCGAAGACCCCCAATGTAGTTCCTTTTTGGGATACTTATAGGGGATCCTAGTATGCTACCCCCCAGAAGGTACTACACAGGAGCCTTTGGGTAGGGCTTATAAAGTCTAGGACCGGGAGTAGGCCCTTATTTCCTTTTTTAGGGTTGGGGTTCCCTTATAATCCCCTTCAAACCAAAAAGGGTACCCTTTTTATTCCTAGGTTACTCCCGGGTCCAGTAAACCCAAAGACCCCGTACAAACTCCTGAAAAAATGACCCTAAACCCTAAACCCTGAACCACCTGTCTCCCAGAAACCCCTATCCCCAAACTCGTAAACCCTAAACCCTAAACCCCAAACCCTTAACCCTCAACCTCAAGCTCGAAACCCTTACATTTGAAAGGCCTTCCAGACGTTTGCCATGGACGTGGACGAGTGGTATCAGACGGAGGAGGCATGGGCACGCTGGTTTTCCGTGTTTGGATTTAGGTGTTTCAGATTCGGGTGTTTTGGGGTGGTTGGGGGGAGTTTAGGGTAGGTGTTTAGTGTTCAGGGGTTTAGGTTTCGGGTGTCGCAGGTTCGGGCGTTTAGGGGTGTTTGGGGGGGAGTTTAGGGGTGTTTAGGGTAGGGTTCTTATGGTGCTTAGGAGATTTAGGGTGGTTAGGGGTCCGGGTCTAGGGTTAAGGTCTTCCATCCCCCACGGTCAACAGCGTGTGTCGCGATGCGGTTGATTGGAAGAGTGCCCATGGTCGTGCCGCTGCAGTCCTTCATTACAAACCCTACTTGAGCTTCATGGGTACTTGTTGCCGCAATTATAAGTCTGCTTGTAAGCCCCCTAAGTCCTCTAAGTAGGTGAGAAGTGAGAAGTAGACTTATAATGGAGGTTATAAGTACCCATGAACCTCCAACTTGGGATAGTCCCCCCTATACTAACAGTGGGGTTTCGGGTTTCGGGTTTAGGGTTGTAATAGGGGCTACTCTAATCCCGAAGAAGGACTCGCAGTATAAGGGGGAACATCCCAACCTACAACCCTAATCCCTATAACCCCCTTCCAACACCCCCCCCCCCCCCCCGTTTTTCTGCGTAGGCACTTTTTTTTTCGGATTTCTGTCTATTTTCCCCTTATGGGGTTTCAGAGGTTCATACTCTTGGTAGCCCAGTGGTAACCCGTTTCCCTTTTTTGGGTTCAAGGTTCCCTTATAAAGTAACCAACCCCAAAAAGGGTGCCCTTATTATGATATGGTTACTGGGCTACCAAGTACTCAAGAATACTTTTCAGAAGGTTTTGAAGGGCCAACCGAGTTATGGGTCTGAGGCCCAGAAGACAAAGAAGCCGGCGAAGTCCTTCCGCCTCTGGAAGACGAAGATGCCTGGATATATAGGGTTTCAGGGTTGAAGATCCTTTAGGGGGTTTTGGGTTTAGGGTTTAGGGTTTAGGGCTTCGGGCTTAGGGGTTAAGTTCCTTAGGGTTGCAGGTGTTGGGGTTTGGGGTTTAGGGGTTAGGGCTTAGGGTTTAAGGTTGTAGGGTTTAGAGCTGAGGCAAAGGGTTTAGGGTCCTTAGGATAACCTCTTGGCTTTTTTCCAAGCGATCGCGGTTCTGACTCCGATTCGCGGAAGGCTTGTGCCCCGTGCCCCCCAGGATCGACCTAAAAGTTCATTGGCAAGCTGAAGATGATCCCAGGTTCAGGTGTTTAAGGTTTAGGGTTTAGGGTTTAGGGTTTAGGGTTTAGGGTTTAGGGTTTAGGGTTTAGGGTTTAGGGTTAGGAGTACCCTGGTTGATGAGGTTAGGGGCACTGAAGACACATCCTATACCTGTTCGTCTGAAAGTTCACCCAACCTGTCCTGGCACCTTAACCCTAAGCCCCGCTCAACAGTAAACCGCTTAGACCATACACTCGAAAACTAAGCCCTAAACCCTAAACCCTAAACCCTAAATCCTTTTGAAGCCCTTAGACCCTAGCCCTGCTCCGGCTGAGGAAGATGCAAAGCAAGCGTGCGGCGGACAAACTCGCAGATAGGGATCCTTGGCCTGCAACAGATGTTTGGGGTTTAGGGCTTAGGGTTTAGGGTTTAGGGTTTAGGGTGTAGGGCTTAGGGTTTAGTGCTTAGGGCTTCAGGTTTAGGGTGTATGGCCCTTGTACTACCTTCAGGATCTTTAAAAAGGCCCCCAAAGACCCATGGTACAACCTTAAGGGTGCAACAAGGTACAACCCCCAGAGAAGAGCAACTACTTTCGCCTTACATTACTATCCTTGCCGTCATAGCGCTATTGACATTATGACGTTTGGCGGAGTACTGACCACTAAACAGACCTAAGCCCTAGACACGTCATCCCCCCCCCCCCCCCAAAAAAAAAAAAAAAAAGGTGCAACAAAGACAGCCTCAGGGTAAACCCTGAACCCTAAACCCCTAGACCTCTTTTCGTTCACGGGTGTAAAGGGCGTTGGGATGCTCCATTGTTGCCCCCCCAAAAAAGGCCCAAGAGTGAACTAGGAATGAAAATTCAAACAAGGGCTGCCCTCTTTTGAATAAACGGCCTTTAATGGGAACCGACCCCCGCAAACTCGTGAAACAAAGGCACATTCCGAGTCCGAAGCCCAAATTGCACCCCAAAAGCCTTCAGGTACGGCCAGCAGCTTTGCTGTCCTTGTTGGGGTCCTAAAGACTCCCAACCCCAAACCCCAAACCCCAAACCCTAAACCCTAAACCCTAAACCCTAAACCCCAAACCCTAAACCCTAAACCCTAAACCCTAAACCCTATAAACCCTAAACCCCCTACTAGGGTCCCTTGCATTCCCAGGAGCGCGTCAAAGCCGAGAAACTTGCAGCCCGGGAGAGGGAGCCTTGGCGACTGCTTACGGATGCTTTGGGCATGTAGGGGTTTAGGGTTTAGGGTTTAGGGTTTAGGGTTTAGGGTTTAGGGTTTAGGGCGACAGCTTAGGGATATGTTAGGGCTGAGGGGCTTAGGGTTTTCGGGGTTTAGGGGTTGGGGCTTTGGGGTTTTGGGTTTAGAGCTTTAGGGGTTTTAAGGTTTTAGGGTTTTGGGGGTTCAGGGTTTTAGGGGTTTAGGGTGTTTAGGTTTTTTTTTTGTGTGTGTGTGTGTGTGTTTGTTTGTGTTGTTTGGGTTTATAGGGTTTTATTGGGGTCTAGGGTTCAGAATTTTCGGGGTTCAAGGCTTTAGGGTTTTTCGGGCCTTTATATATGGGTGGTTGTCAAAATTATGGTCCCTTTTTGGATCCCTATTATAATACGGCACCTAGTATGTAGAGCACCCCAAAAGGGATCATAATTTTGACATCCACCATATGAAACAAAAGCAGGACAAACCAAAGCCGCGAAATCGCGCCCGACAGGCGAAGTTCGAGAAGTCCGCTGGCAAGAAGAAGGCTAAGGCCGGGTCCGTGTAGGGCTTGGCAGCCCAGTGGTACCCTTTTTCCCTTTATGTTTAGGGTTTAGGGGTTTAGGGTTTAGGGTTAGGGTTTAGGGTTTAGTGTTTAGGGTTTAGGTTTCAGGGTTCAGGGTTCAGGGTTCAGGGTTCAGGGTTCAGGGTTTAGGGTTTAGGGTAGCCCAGTGTGGTTCCCTTTGCCCCTTTTTGGGGGGCGTTCTAGGTTCCCTTCTGAAGTAACCGGCCCCCAAAGACGACTATTTGCTTAAGAGCCCCAAAAGAATTAAAACAATTATCTCCTTATTACCCTTAATTAATAAGGAAGAGTATTCTCTCGGGGGTCTTAAGCAATTTGTATAGTTTAGGGTTTAGGGTTTAGGGTTTAGGGATTAGAGATTAGAGATTAGGGGTTGAGGGTTTAGGGTTTAGGGTTTGGGGTTAGTAGAAAAAATGGTGCCCTTACTTACTGTAATATGGTTGCCGCGCTACCGAGGCGGGGTCCCGGGGGGGGCTTTGGGTTGTTTGTAGTTAGGGGCTTTAAGGGTTCAGGGTTTAGGGTTTGGGGTTTCGGTTTAGGGTTTAGGTTGTAGGGTTTAGGGTTTAGGGTTTCGGGTGCAGGGTTTAGGGTTCAGGGTTTAGGGTTTTAGGGTTTTAGGGTTTTAGGGTTTTAGGGTTTTAGGGTTTTAGGGTTTTAGGGTTTTAGGGTTTTAGGGTTTAGGGTTTCACTGTTTTGGGGTTTTAGGGCCTAGGTTGAACGCGCTTGGGGCTTTAAGCCCTAAACCCTAAACCCTAAACCCTAAATCCTAAACGGGCTTTTAATGGTTTGCTGGCTCCCCCTTAGGGCTTGGGACTGTGGTGCGCAGGCCTGTGGCATCCCCCTTGGAGCAGAGTCATATTCGGGTTTGGGGTTTAGGGTTTAGGGTTTATAGGGGTTCCTATAACATGGATTACGGTAGTCTTGGGGTATAGAAGGGGAACCGCAACTTTGGGAGAATCCTATACGGCCCGAAGTTCCTAAGCTGGGAATATGAAGTCGTACTGGGTTTAAGTGTCTAAGGGCGTAAGCCCAAAAAGCCACATATCCCAAAGCCCTAGCCCTAAACCCGAAACCCGAAACCCTAAACCCTAAACCCTAAACCCTAAACCCTAAACCCTAAACCCTAAACCTAAACCCTAAACCCTAAACCCTTTACAGCCCCCTAAAAGCCATATTGCAGAAGATCTGCAGGTGAGCATGCCGGGGGCACCAGCCGAGCCGGAGGCTCCGGCGGTGGAGATCCCACCCCCTCTGGAGAAGGCGGATCAGGGTCTAGGGTTTAGGGTTTAGGGTTTAGGGTTTAGGGTTTAGGGTTTAGGGTTTACATGGGTTTACATGGGTTTTATAGGACTTCACAGGTGTTTTATAGGGTGTTTGTAGGGAACAAGGGTTGATAGGGGCTTGTAGGGGTTTACAAGGGGGTTTGGATGGGATTGTAGGGGTTTATAAGCTGATAGGGGCTGCAAGGGGTTTACAGGGCTTGATAGGCGTTTCGGGTTCATAGGGATTACCATGGCTTGTCGGGCTTACAGGGTTTGATGGCCTTGCTGGGTGTATAGGATGGGGGGTTTATAGGGGCTGTTGGTTCATAGGTTTTGTTTCATGGTTTGTAGGGTTTATGGGGCGTGTACAGTTTAAGGGCTTTATAGGACTTACATGGTCTACAGGGTCTATCAGATTTAGTACAGGCCGTCGGATGTAGGACCTAACACAGTTCCTCAAACTACCCCCCCTTACATGGCTATAGCCTCTTCTGCCCTTGTAGCGAGGCAAAGCCCAGAAATCTCAGCTCTGAAGCCCGAAAGCGTGCGTAAAAACGCTCGGGCCGAAAACACAGCTCTAAACCGGAAGATACGTACAGATGAAACCCTAAGCCCCGAAAGCCCTAAACCCTAAACCCTCCACCCTAAACCCTAAACCCTAAGCTATTGCGCCGACATATGCCCTTGAAGTCCCAGACCTTCTATTCATGGGTCCCCCTAAACCCTAAACCCTAAACCCTGAACCCTAAACCCTAAACCCTAAACCCTGTACAAGCAAAGGGCCTACTAATTAACCCCTTTTTTTAGTACCCCGCCTAGGTTCCCCCCAAAATTGAGGCTATTTAGGGCTAGTTAAGCCTAGTAGAGGGTGTAGTAGGGGCATGATATATCAACCTCCGGGTCTGAAAGCAAGTTCGTGTTTAGGATTTAGGGTTTAGGGTCTAGGGTCTAGAGTTTAGGGTTCAGGGTTTAGGGTTTCTAAAAGCTCCCTGAACCCGAATCCCCTATGTCAACCCCAAGCCCGAATCCTCAGAAACCCTGTATAATCCACCCAAACCTAGAAAGGCAAAACCAAGTTATTTTTACTTCGAACATCCCCACCCTGTAATATAGGGGACTCGGAATAAGTACTAGTGCTTGTCCCTTATGGCCCCTTTGTAATTATACTATAATAACCCCCAAAACCCTATTCTAATGATTTAGGCCCCTATAAGGCCCCTATGGGGCATTCCAGGGACACTCTTTGGGGTTGTGGGCACTCTTTGGGGTTGTGGGCATTCTAGGAAAAGTCTGGGGTTGGGGGTTTAGGGTTTAAGGTTTAGGCCGGGTTGGGCACTGCAGGGACAGTGTGGGGACACTCTACAAACAACGAGTTTAGTTTAAAGTCTACTATCCCCACATTGAAGGTGGGGAACAGCGAAGCCCGAAACCCAAAGCCAGAACAACTCACAAAGTCAAAAATGCTCGTAGGTGGAAACCCTAAACCCTAAACCCTAAACCCTAAACCCTTCAAGCCCAAAAGTCCCCCAGCCTCCCCGAAGCTCCTCAAAGCTGCCCGGTTCGCTAGGATCCCTTCTGGGACGAGTGCTTCTCTAATGCAGAGGCGCCGAGTGTTTAGGGTTTAGGGTTTGGGGTTTATAAGGTTTAGGGTTTAGGGTTTAGGGTTTAGGGTTTAGGGTTTAGGGTTTAGGGTTTAGGGTTTAGGGTTTATAAGGTTTAGGGTTTAGGGTTTCTAAGGTTTAGGGTTTGGGGTTTAGGGTTTGGGGCTTAGGGTTTAGGGTGTAGGGCTTAGGGTGCAGGGTTTCGGGTTTAGGGTTAGGGTTTGCGGCTTATACGAGGGGTTTAGGGCTTTAGGGTGGCTACTTTTTCTTCAAAAAGGCGTTGGGGTGCCCCAGCCACTTACATGAGCTTAGCTCCATGATGGTCCGGGTGGCAACACGTCCAGCATTTGAAGGGCACCGCGGGGACGATTTGTTGGGCAGTTCTTTTCGAAATTGTGGTCCCTTTTCGGGTACCCTTTCAAAAGGAAGGCTTTTTTTTTGAATTCTTTGCGGGGAGGTTGCGGGAACCATTGAGAAGCATCTGGCCAGATGGCTTTCAACAGACGAGCAACCAAGAGAATTCCCAGAGCCGCGCAGCCCCAAGCTCCTGAAGCCCTACTTGGAGGTTCATGGTACTTATTCTCCAATTATAGGGTTTAGGGCTTAGGGCTTAGGGTTTAGGCTTTAGGGTTTAGGGTACTTACTAACCAATTGCAAACGGCACTTATAGCCCACTTTGAAGCCCATGAAGTGCACTAATATGGTTAGAAGTACAGTAACAAGTACAGTTATGATTGGTTTTAATCAGTACCATGAACCTCCAAGCAGGGCGCCCCCACTGCCCTCGCCCTAAACCCTAAACCCTAAACCCTAAACCCTAAACCCTAAACCCTAAACCCTAAACCCTAAACCCTAAACCCTAAACCCTAAACCCTAAACCCTAAACCCTAAACCCGGTATCGTGATGGCCTCAAACCTTTCTGAGGTTGTCTAAGCTCCAAAGCTTGCCGCCCCCCATTTCGCCAGCCGCCCCTCTCTGTGACTTTAGGGTTTAGGGTTTAGGGTTTAGGGTTTAGGGTCTAGGGTCTAGGGTTTAGGGTTTAGGGTTTAGGGTTACGGTTTACGGTTTAGGGTTTAGGGTTCACTTTGTTCATGCCTGCGTACTTTGAGGTGAGAACTGACGCTGTTTGGGTGGGTTGCTCAAAACAGCTACTCTTCGAGATTCGTGCATTGGTCAGAGGATGCATGCAGTGCTTCACAGAGCTTTTTCAGTGATTCAGGTTGGCGAATTTTGGGGGTCGGAACAATTACTAGTACCATATGTTCCCTTATGGCCCCTTTGTAGCTATACGATAATAACCCCCCCCCCCCCCCCCCCCAAAGAAGACATTCTCATTATTTAGGCCCTAAACCCTAAACCCTAAATCCTAAACCCAAAACTCTAAACCCCAAACCCTAAACCCTAAACCCTAAACCTTAATTTATTACCTGCCATGGTCCACTTGCTGCCTTCGGGTGAACTTCCTGAAGGCGCCTCCGATGAAGAATCCTTCGTCGACTGGGCCGTGCCGACTGAGCGTGTCCCTGCCGTGGCTTGCTCGCCCGGCGGTACTCTTATTCCCTTGTTTAAGGAAATTAGGGTTTAGGGTTTAGGGTTAGGGTTTAGGGTTTAGGGTGTAGGGTTTAGGGTTTAGGGTTTAGGGTTTAGGGTTTAGGGTTTAGGGTTTAGGGTTTAGGGTTTAGGGTTTAAGGTTTAGGGTTCCCTTACAAAGTAACCAACCCCAATCAAAAAGGATACCCTTATGAGAAGATGGTTACCAAGGTAGTACCTGCCAACCATACCGGATCGTTCACTGACAAGGAGCCGCGGGCCGCAGGTGATCAAACGTAGGGTTTAGGGTTTAGGGTTTAGGGTTTAGGGTTTAAGGTTTAGGGTTTAGGGTTTAGGGTTTAGGGTTTTTGTCTGCGAGCCTCCCGGAGGTTGAGTGGCATGCAGAGAGCGAACCTTCTGAAGCTCCAGAATCACCTGTCGATTCTGGACGCAGGCCACAGCAAGATGAAGATGACCTCTTCATGAGCCTTTGTTGTGCTTTATTTACTGTAACTTTGGATCCTTAGCCTTTTTGGGGTTTCTTGGGTTTCGGAGTAAGGCAGCTGAAAAAGTTAATGTATAGCCTCCCAAGTGCAGCCAAGGAGCCACCTTGTTGCTTTCGTGGAGGCCATGCGGCCAAGCAAGCCAGAGATGCTGCGTGCCTGCCCAGCTTTTGTCGTCTTGGCCTGCTTGGGCCAGGTTTTCTGGTCGGGTCGGAACAGAAACTTTTTCCACCTGAGCAAGGTTACCAAAGCCTACGATGAGTTCTTGAGTCACAGCTGGCAGGTTGCCACATGGAAGAAGGTCTTGCTTCTTGGTAGCCCAGCGGTGCCCTTTACCCTTTTTTGGTTCTGGGTTCCCTTTTGAAGTAACGAACCCTAAACCCTAAACCCTAAACCCTAAACCGTAAACCCTAAACCGGTACTCTTATTGTGAGATGGTTACTGGGCTACCAAGGCTTCTGTTGATGCTGAAGAATGGCTTGCCCGCCTGCTTGGTAGCAGGCTTAGGCACCTTGCTCATGGCGGGCATTTGGCAACTCGGATTCCTGCCTGGCTACGTGAAATCAGATTCTCAGTAGCTGAATGAGTACACTTTACACTTTTTGGGATACTCTAAATCCCCTCTAGAACTGAAAGTGGACACTTCTTTCAGGGCTTATGAACTCAGCAACTAAGGAGTTTGTAGCTGAGGCCCCGGACGCGAGGCATTCCTTTTGGTGTGCTTCTGTGGGGCTGGTTCTGGCCCCCTTGACCTTGCTCTGCTGGAAGTCCCGGAGTCAGATCCTAGGATACCCAGTACAGTCATAATTTGTTAATAAGTACCATGAACCTCCAAGTAGTACCCTTGTTTCCCTTTTTTTTTTTTTTTTTTTTTGGGGGGGGGGGGGGGGGGGGGGTGGGGGGTTAGGTTCCCTTGCAAACCGCCTTGAAGCCAACAAGGGGGCACCCTTTTGTGTAATCCCAGGTTGCTGGGCAACCTAGGATCTTCGTGGACAGAGTTTGCATCAATCAGTTCGATGTGGTCCAGAAGAGCGAGGGAATCCTGAACATCGGAGCTATGCTCAAGGCTTTGTCATAGTTGGGTACCATTTTACATGTTTAAGGGTACTTAAACCCTGTAAGGAATGAAACAAATATGTTTTTACCCTAAACCCTAAACCCTAAACCCTAAACCCTAAACCCTAAACCCTAAACCCTACACCCTACACCCTAAACCCTAAACCCTAAACCCTAAACCCTAAACCCTAAACCCACCCTATTCTCCCAACCATGAACTAGAAGGCGTCCCGATCTTTCTTGCTTGTTTGGGACGAGACCTACATCGAAGCTCAGGATCGATTTAGACGGCCCTCTTCAAGTATTTCAGTGTAAACCCTAAACCCTAAACCCTAAAACTCAACTCTAAGTTAGTATAAGTTGGGATCTGCCTCGGCCCACTAGCAGTCAAATAAAGGGTTCTTGTACGCAAAATACCCCAAACCCTAAACCCTAAACCAGCACCCAGAAATTCTGATCGAGTTTGGACCTGGCTCAGAAGAGGAGATCACACTTTGGGCATTCTTAGAGGTTCATGGTACTTATTAACCACTTATCACTGTACTTAGAACTGAACTTTTAGGGTTTAGGGTTTAGGGTTTAGGGTTATAGCTGTACTTAGAACTGTACTAAGAACCATCTTAGGGCACTTAAGGGGCTTAGAAGTGGTTGCAAGTACAGGTATAACTGGTTAATAAGTGCCGTGAACCTCCAAGTTGGTTTGTGTTCTTTTCTGGTGCTACTCACCCTAAACCCTAAACCCTAAGGGTTTAGGGTTTAGGGTTTAGGGTTTAGGGTTTAGGGTTTAGGGTTTAGGGTTCATGGCGCAATTGCTTCGTGCTGAGCACAAAAGTTGGCACCAGAAAAAACACAGCCTTGAGCACAAAACACTGCACCAGAAAAAGCCACCATACTAGGAGTATCACCAGAAAAAGCACAATCTTGAGCACAAAAATAGCACCAGAGAATGCACAATCTGGAGCACAAAAACTGACACCAGAAAAAGCAGAATCTTGAGCACAAAAAATGACACCAGAAAACTTAATCACACTCATGTATCAGGCCTTCAAGTATGATCATGAGAGGGTTTAGGGTTTAGGGTTTAGGGTTTCTCAGAAATCTCCAACCTTGCGGGCGCTTAACCTTGTGGGTGTGTTTGTGCGGACCACTTGTCATGTGTGCCCGGGCAAGTCATAAAGTATAATAAGACTCAGCATCGCACCATGATGCCAGAGGCCAAAAGGCGTTTTAACTACCCTAAACACCAAACCCAAAACCCCAAACCCCAAACCCCAAACCCTAAACCCTAAACCCTAAACCCTAAACCCTAAACCCTAAACCCTAAACCCTAAACCCTAAACCCTAAACCGCAATGACAATGACAGTGTCTGGCACCAAGGACCGACTTTGGTGCATCTTCGAGCTCGCGGCATTTCTTCGATCCCATCCCGACATGGCGGATGGCAACTTACTTAGCCGATGTTTGGGCCTTAAACGTTTTGTGTCTTGCTTATTTGTTAGGAATAATGAAGTTTGACCGTTATTGGAGATGTAAGGCAAAAACCTGTCCGCCTTGAACGTTTTTCCTGTGGCGCTCGGCTACATGTCCTTGTCTGCGGCGATGGTTTCGATTAGCCTGGCCTTCGTTGCGACCACTATCCCCACAGAGAATCTGTGGCTTCAGCGGCTAGGAACCAGACTAGGCTCTTATTTCTGTCTTCTGGGGTTTTCTCAATTTAGGCTCCCTTACAAGCCCCGTTTCAACCGAAAAGGGCACCCCTGCTTTTCCTAGCTTGCAAAGCCCTAGACCCTAAACCCTGAACCCTGAACCCTAAACCCTAAACCCCAAACCCTAAACCCTAAACCCTAAACCCTAACCCTAAACCTTAGGTGGTCCTTAACACTTGTGCTCGGCGCCTGCCTCGGCCTTGGCATGGCGCATGCGGCCCGCGCTCATTTCAGGGCCCTGGAGGCGGGTTTAGGGTTTAGGGTTTAGGGTTTAGGGAGGCTGGTTTATAGAAATGGGCCCTGCAGGCGATGCGTAGCCAGCTCCGACGTTTCGAGCTGCAAAAGACCCTTGGGGACGAAATGAACCCCAAAATTGGGGGTTTAGGGTTTAGGGTTTAGGGTTTAGGGTTTAGGGTTTAGGGTTTAGGGTTTAGGGTTTAGGGTTTAGGGTTTAGGGTTTAGGGTTTGCCCTACTAAGGCTATTGAGGTTTTTGAACCATAAACCCTTTTAGGGTTGCGAAAAAGGGTTCATCTGGTCCCGAAGGACTATCTGCTATTGCTGCTCTGTGAATCACGTGGACCCGCATACTTCCGAGCCCATCCCAATATGCGACTGAGTTGTGCTTTCAGGGTTTAGGCTTTAGGGTTTAGGGTTTAGGGTTTAGAGTTTAGAGTTTAGAGTTTAGGCTTAATTTTCCCTTCTTTCTTTCTACGGGAACCTATTCATAAGCAAATTGTCAACGGGTTTTTTGAGCACAACTCAGGTGACAGAGAAACCGTGGGCCGGTGCGTGACTTCGTGGTTTCTTAGTTTTTTTGGGTACCATTTTTTTATTTTCAAGGGTACTTAAACCCAATAAGGAATAAGGGTACTTAGACTCAATAAGGCTACTTAAACCCAATAAGGAATAGACAGTTACGTTTTTGGTTAAACCCTAAACCCTAAACCCTAAACCCTAAACCCTAAACCCTAAACCCTAAACCCTAAACCCTAAACCCTAATACCCTAATACCCTAATACCCTAATACCCCTAAACCCTAAACCCTCCCAACCATGGGCTAGGTTTGGCTCGGAGCAGGCCTTCAATGAGTCGGTTCGGTCCTCCGTGGCCCGGGCGCTGCAGCAGCAGCTTGGCTGTGATGCCTTTCCATATGTCTCTCGGCAGAATTGGGATACTTTTGAGATGGTTTCGCCCTTTGTTTGGGTTTAAGAGGGTCATATTCTGGAACCCTAAACCCTAAACCCTAAACCCCAAACCCTAAACCCTAAACCCTAAACCCCTCACAAGGGTCTTAAAAATGGCCATTCTAGGTCTGGTTGGTGTGCTCAACTTCACCACTCATGTGGAGCTGCATCGACGTCTTGACCAGCTTCTCTGACCGGGAGTCGGCCCTTTTTTCCTTTTTTTAGGGTTGGGGTTCTCTTAGAATCCCCGGAAACCCTAAACCCTAAACCCTAGACCCTAAGCCCTTGTTATTCCTAGGCTGCTCCCGGGTCTAGGCTTTGTTCGCGATGATTTTCTGAGAGAGGATGCGCTTCGGAGGTTACTCATCAGATCCTTGGGCAAATATTTTATGAGCCCCCAAAATGGGGGTCATGGACCCTATGCTACTATGATTCCGATAAAGGTATCTGACCCTAATCCCTAAACCCTAAACCCTAAACCCTACACCCTAAACCCTAAACCCTAAACCCTGAACCCCTTTCAGGGTTCAACTGGGTCCCCAAGGATACCCCACCTATTGGCTCCTGAGTTTCCCAACGCTCTTCACTGTGGGCTTGCTTTGGTCCCGCGTCTTCCGCGCGCAGCTTTGTCACAGTTGGCTACCATTTTACATTCTCAAGGGTACTGAAACCCAATAAGAAATAAGCATTTGAATTTTTAATATTACCCTAACCATGAACTAGGCAGGGGTGGTGCTGGCTGACGGAAGCCGCCCGAAATATCTTAGTGATCATGCTCATGGTTCCCTTTGCCGTTTGCATCGTGGCCCTAGAGCTCTGGACCCACATGGCCTTCGAGAAGCTCCTGGGCTCGGTCGTCTTCGCGGCGGGCTCCTTGCTGGGATTTCTGAGCGTAAGGGCCATCCACCATGCCAGCAGCCGGCGCTGGCGCTACATGGATGTTCATGGTGCTTATTAAAAAGGTTATAAGTGACTGTACTTCTATAAACCCACTTACAAGTCCTTAAAAAGTGCCCTAATGTGGTTATAAGTACAGTTACAAGTACAGGTATAATTGGTTAGTCAACCCTAAACCCTAAACCCTAAACCCTAAACCCTAAACCCTAAACCCTAAACCCTAAACCCTAAACCCTAAACCCTAAACCCTACTAAAGCCTACTAAATCCTAAACTCTAAACCCTTTTGGTTGATAAGTACCATGAACCTCGAAGTAGATGCTGAACGACTGAGAGCTCGGCCATCCTTCTGGCCTCAGAGGCTCAAAGATTATGTGGCGATCCTGTTGCTTGCCACTTGCCATCTAATTAGGGTTTAGGGTTTAGGGTTTAGGGTTTAGGGTTTAGGGTTTAGGGTTTAGGGTTTAGGGTTTAGGGTTTAGGGTTTAGGGGTCTAGGGTTTAGGGTAGAAGGCATTTTTCCAAAGGACTGGCCTTGGGCGCCACCAAGTCGACTTTTTCCAATGGCCGAAGGCATCAATACACGGTCAATACAGCTCCTTCGGTGAGTGGCCTTACCCAGACCCAGGGGTCCTCTAAACCCTAAACCCTAAACCTAAACCCTAAACCCTAAACCCTAAACCCTAAGCCCTAAACCCTAAACCCTAAACCCTAAACC